ACCCACTCTGTACACAATATACACAGCAGACATACCAGACCCAAGGCAGTCGGACTACATAGCATACGCTGACGATATCACACAAATAATACAATATCCAGGGAGATCTAAGCAAATGATGGCTATAAGAACAGGAAGAGAAATTGAAGCAATTAACAACTATGAGAGAAAATGGAAAATCCAAACCAACATCCAAAAACTAAAGATCATATACATTGCTAAAATAAATCCATATCCAATCATAATCAACAATCAACATTTACCATATGGAGAAAGTGGGAAAACACTGGGACTCAAAATCACCAGAAACGGTATACACCAACACGAAAGCAAAATTGCAACTAACCAATCTCCGTCGCTTTAGAAAACTGAACACCAAAACACAGCTACATCTATACAAATCACTCATCAGACCACACCTTGAATACCCACCAATTCCACTTAACACAATAACCAAAATAAACAAACTCAAGCTGCAAGCAGTCCAAAATACAGCACTAAGAAGAGCAGCAAAACATAGGCCGCCATACAGTCAAAAATACGAGACATACACATCGAACATAACATAGACACAATTAACATAAGAACACACAAACAACCAAAAGTGGTATGGGACAAACTACACCGAACACAAGTCCCTATTTTACAGGAACTAGTACAGGCAAACAACAATATATCACACACCTGGTGGCCAAGAAGCATCAACATTAGCACAATCAGCCCAGAACCACTATGCGCAAGAGAGTAACACCACTTAAATAACCGAAAAGATGGGGACTATCCTGCTAGTTCACACAAGGAACTGGTGGGACCCCTAACACAAAAGATGAGGACCATCCCTTCAGTTACACAAGGACCTGAAGGAACCCTCAAAAAAAAAGAAAAAAAGAAAGAGCATCACCATATGCGTAACCTTAAAGATGGGGAATATCCTGCCAGTTACACAAGGACCTGGCGAGACCCCCCCAGCACAATCACAAAAGATGAGGAACATCCCTTCAGTAACACAAGGACCTGAAGGGACCCTCCAACAAACCCCAAAACATCACCAATCTTATGATGGCACTTTAAACTAACTTAGCCTAGCTTATCTGAACTCCCTTACCCCTGGAGGACTGAGGGACGTCTGTCACTGGTTTAACCACAAAACAGCCTCCGCAAGGTGGAAAGCCCACCTGCTTTCATTCTCCTTCTATACTTCCCACTTCTTAACTATACCTTGCCCTAAATATCCTTGTTCACCTCAGAGCCACGGCTCTCTTATCTCGGTGTCCTGACTGACTGACGACCCAGGGGAGCAAAACAAAGATAAAAAAAACAATAGAAAAGATGAAGCGATCTGTTTGAGCCCAGATTCTTTCTACTCCTACTGTATTTCAGTTTCACCACTTTTCTTCAACCCTTAATAATCTTCTTTCGACTCATAACTCCAAAGCCAAGAAGGTGATTCTACTCAACGCTCTCAAACGGACAAGACCTCCTCTCAAGAAGCTCCTCACCACACAGCAACTCCCTAGCACTGCATTGTACACACACACACACACACACACACACACACATATATATATATATATATATATATATATATATATATATATATATATATATATATATATATATATATATATATATATATATATATATATATATAGAAAACGCCATTTTGAGTTTACTTTCTCGCCTCCATCCTTAGTGCGAGATCTACGTGTACATATGTATGTGAGTCTAACAAAGAGGAAATAGACAAACACAAAGATAAATTTGACAGCTGGCCATATACACTATGCTACACTATAAGCCCCCTGCTGGAATTGTTTTTTAAATCTGACCAATTTGAGGTCATATACAATGGATTTTAGAACATATTCTAAAGCTCAGGATGCAGTATTTCCAATATCATGGACCAGTGCCGGAGATGCACCATGTCAGGACTGGGACTCTTATGGACCTTTAGCTTGGGCAGTTTATTTCTAATACCCTCTTCTGTGAACACAATGTGGGTCAGTGCTGCGTCGAACCGTCTGTACTCAAACGCAGGAAGGTTAATCGCACCCTCTCTTGTGAGCACCGAGGAAAAGAAGCTGTTCAATGCCTTAGCTTTATCCTGGTCAGAATCTGCGTAACTACCATCTTAAAGCCTCAGGTCTGATACTCCTACTCGCGTTTTTAATTTCGACTTTGCATAGCGGTAAAACTCCTTTGGGTTTGACTTGACCTCGCTTGCAACCAATCTCTGGAACTCCTTTTCAGCTCTTCTACACTCTATCTTTGCTTGGTTTCTGGCTCTTGCATACATCCTCCTGCCCTGCCCATCGTTTGACCCAACCCACGTCTTGAATTTCTGGTTTTCTTCTTAACTCTATCGACCGTACAGTACATACTTAGGGTGTGAAGGGAGTTTGTTTATGTATAATTATAATCACCTGACTCAGCCATAGTTGACCAGCCAAGGGGCCAGGCTATAGGGTGGGCATTTCAGTATAGCTACCCATATCTTAGAGTCAACACCTACCCTGGCTTCTCTCTAGAGTTTCAACACGTAAGTTTAACTAGTACTTATTGTGTACACAGGTAGACTGTGTCATTGTTTTTTGTGTTAAGATTAGACTAATTACATAGCCATGATTGTTATGTAAATATATATTGGATTAAACATTAATGTAAGAGTGCCTATGTATGACTTATTTGAAATACTAAATGAATTGTATTCAACAGGTTTGACCGAATTATAATGTTCGTGTACGACGTGAGAAGTAGTATTCACCCTCTAACCGTCTGATTGGCGGTTACACACACACACACACACACACACACACACACACACACACACACATATATATATATATATATATATATATATATATATATATATATATATATATATATATATATATATATATATATATATATATATATATATATATATATATATATATATATATATATATATATATATATATATATACTGATGACCACAAGGAAAGAAGAAAACACGAAGTTCCCAAGCGCTTTCGTGTAATATATTGTATATACTGTACATGCCAACCAATTGTAAACTTGTACGGTATTACGATACTAATGAAGAAAAGTAATAGTTATTATTAGTAGTAGTATCCTATTTCAGGGGAAGAAAAACAGCAAAGTACAGGAAAGTTTGATCCTAGATTAACATTTTCATTTAAACTGTAACATGACAACATACAATATGTTATTTTTTACTTAAGAAAAATATAGCACAGTTTTACATTTTACACACAGTAACAAAAATGAGATTAAGACATAAGACGAGTTTAAAAATTACTATATACGCAATCCAGATCATACAGTAGTTGACAGACTTGTTTCTGAGTTCATATGAAGATAAGCTACCCAAATATGGAACAAACCATGAGTCTTCGTAAAAATAAACCAAATTTCCAATATAAAAAATAATTCACAGCAACTTGTTTGTTTCTTGCCGCCTAAGCGGCTAACGAGTCGATCAGTGGCAAAGAGGATAAAAATAAGTTAGCGGCCACTGCAACTACAACGGTCACTTCTGGGGAGGCGGTCGATAGCTTGTTGAGGGTTCCCCAGTATTTGATAATTTTATCCAGAGCGGCTTCAAAGAAAATTACTCATTAAAGAATAAGCGTATAGCGTAGGATATTAGAACACCAATGTTTTAAACAATATACAGTATAGCATACCGCATACACACTGTTATCTCCGCTGGCTTCAGCTACAGTGCTGGCGTGTGATGCCATTAAATCTTTCGACCTGTGACCTCGCCAGATGTAGAAGTGTTTACAGACAAGTCCTGGTTCTGCTGAGTGGACTGTCTTAGACTGGTGGCGGTAGCTGCCCGCCCCTCCATGAGACAGATCGCCCTCTCTAGTGATGCTGTGAAGACCAGCCTTCTGTCCGAGAATTTGTGCTGGGACGATTTACGCAATACTGTTTTCTCTTGGAACACCATACTGATCTGCATTGACCCGCACTTGTAAGTACAGGCTAAGTCAGGGGTTCTCAACCAGGGGGGAATTCCCCCCAGGGGGAGAATTCAGGTTTTCATGGGGGGGAAAACTGATTCGGGAGCAAGAGATATGTTCGATGAGAAATCAATCACAGAATTTTGGCCCTTGATGTGCGATTCCTACCCAAAAGTGGCAGAAAGAGCTATCCGTGTCTTGCTTCCGTTTGTGTCGACATATCTTTGTGAGTCAGGCTTTTCAACTCAGTTGCAAATTAAAACGAAGCAACGTAGTAGATTAGAGGTAGAAAATGACCTGCGTTGTGCCCTTTCAAACACTCCTCCGCGTATCCCAGAATTGGCGAAGAAAAAACAATCACAGGTTTCTCATTGACTGTAATCTTCATCTGAATAAAATTAATTACAAATTTACAATATCCTGGTATTCTATTGAATTTTTTGTTTTTTGCATTATGCTTCAGTTTGGTCTGTTAAGTAATTCATTATAAATATATAAAACTATTTTCTTTTATTCAAGTTTTATAAATCCATCAACATTTTCAATTGGCATTTAATTTGTAAAACTCCACTATAAAAATAATCCATGTAAAATTGTAAATGTATATGTACTAATATGGAAAAAATAAAGGATTTTCAGTATTATATGCATATTATTTGGAATGCACTTTTTGAGGCAGACAATCTTGGAAAGGAGGGGGGAATGACATTCTGACATATGGTGCAAGGGGTGCATGGGGCAAACAAGGTTGAGAACCACTGGGCTAAGTGATGACATACCCCTCGGTACTGAAATATTGTTGATTAATTACGCCTACTCGTTTCTGCCAAACTTGGAGTAATAAGACAATGCAGAATGAAGCGAAGTTAAGAATAATAGAGTTATGAACTTTGTGTTATGTCAGTATGTTTAATAAATTGTAATTAAGATAAAATTGTGAGACTAACTAATTATGTATCAGATGGATCACCTTGTAATATTATGAACGCCTTCTCCTCTGCAGGTTTTGACCACATCAATAAATATTGGATGCGTCAAAAGACGGGTTTCAATCATTCCCTTCGACTTACCCGTAACCTGAACGTCCTTAACTAAGGCGTTTACACACACTAAACAAATACAGTACAGTACAGTGCAGTACTGTATTGTAGTCTTTCAAAGATACACTTAAAGATACCTTAACATGGATTTCACTATTGTACAGTGCAGGTATTTCTAAATTTATCAAAAAAATACAAAGTAATTTCAACAAAATGATGTAGAGGTATTATTAATATAAATAGATATAGTTATAAAAACTGTCAGCATCAGTTTGAGTTTTGACCAATAATGACAATGTAAACAAAGTACGGTAATATTTAAACTCAAACCTCCGTTAAAAAACACCCTACAGTAATAAAAATACTGTATGACCATATTCTAGTTTTGAGTAAAACAATGGATGTTAAGTATGTTATATTACCATAAATAATTCTTTAGCAATAATTATGTTGTATCTTACCATAAACAATCTATTTAGTTCATAATTGCGGTAAATAGAGTGGCAACAAACAGAACACACATAACCGGAGCCGGAATAGTATTTGTGTTAGCTCTTGTGCATACATCAGTGTCGTCGGCAAATATTTCATTCACCCGGTCCCAAGTGCCATTGTGAGGCTGTGGTGTCAACTGCAAAACGTGGGTGAGCACTTGATAAATGTCCACAACGTGGATGGGTTCAATTGTCCATCCACACTTGAAGGCTGCAAGACGAAACAAAATGGTGAAGTTGGCTGTCAGATTATTATTTATGATATCTTGTCATATTAGAATAGCTCATTTTAAAATGTAAAAATTCTCGTTGGGTCCTCAATGCTCATCCTACATTCTAGTACGTACTGCATATGTCGACACCTCAAATTTGTATGTCAGTCTTTTTTATTTCATTCCTTTACTTTCTACGGTGTCATCCCAATTGGACGATTCCCACTTTTTGCCATCCTATTTAGATGATTAGGTTAAATTACGTTGGGTTAGGTTACATTAAATAGCATAGAATAGACGATCGTCCAGATTGAAATCGTCGAAGAGGGATGTAGCTGCAGAAGGACCTCTGTGGGCTCCAGGAATGGTCGAAGGAATGGCTGCTGAGATTCAATGTCACGAAGTGTAAGAGGATGCACCTGGGGCGTACCAACGGTAAGGAGGCGTACCATATGTCCCAACGGGATGAAGAAAATGTACTAGTTGAGACTGTGTGTGAGAAGGACCTAGGTGTGTATGTTGACAATGAGCTGAAGTTCTCGGGCCATTGTGAGAAGAAGGTAAATCAGGCAAATAAATTATTGGGTCTTATAAGAAGGTCGTTCAGATATCTAGACGGTCCGTCCCTCGTGACGATCTTCAGGAGTGAAGTGCTTCCCCATCTGGAGTACTGTCACCCCATCTGGTCCCCGAGATATGCTAGGGACTGTCAGTTGGTTGAAAATGTTCAAAGGAGGGCCACCAAGCTGGTGCCTGCACTTCGGCATCTCAGCTACCCTGCGAGATTGGAGCGCCTGAACTTGCCTAGCTTATACTACAGACGGGCAAGGGGGGACCTAGTTGAGGTTTATAAGCATCTCAGGGGGCACTACTCAGTTGAGTGTCCTTACTTGGAGCTGGCGGACGCTCGCCCCACAAGGGGTCATAGCTCAAGATTGAAGAAGCCGCAAGTCCGGAAAACCGTGAGGGCAAACTTTTTCGGAGTGAGGGTTGTAAACTCTTGGAACAATCTACCAGAGAGTGTTGTGACGGCACCGAGTGTGAGCTCTTTCAAGAGAAGACTTGACCAACACTGGAGCGGGTTCAGGTACATTCAGGAGCCGGTGCATGCCCAGTATTTGCCAACAGTGCGTGACAGAGACGTGACCGATCGCCCGGGCGGCTAGCGAGCCGACCTTTTGGTGAAGAATATAAAGGAAAAGAGTCGTGACCGATCGCCCAAGCGGCTAACAAGCCGATCAGTGGCGAAGAGGATAAAAGTAAAGTAAAAATTCATCTTTTATGTTTTCCCACTTGCACAACAAAGCAATTCGCACTCAATGCCTGAGGTAGATATGGTTTTTAATATGTACAACATATGTGTTTATTAAAACATGATGACTGAAGACAAAAAACGATACACAAACTTCAAACTACCCAAAAACCGTGAGGATAGTGTGATAAGAATAATGCATTGATAGAAAAGTTAACGGCAACATCTAGACCAAAGTAGAAGACATTTCAAGTGTTACAGAAATGAGATGTCAAGGGGCAGGTATTTTTTTTTTTTTTAACAAGGAGATCCTTTACGAAACCAAATGAGATACGAAAAGGCAAATTTACTTCATAAGTATGTTGGGAAGTTTGGAGGTGCTTACGGAGTAAAGGTAGAAGAATGTAGGGAACCTTCTTCCAGTAGATTTAAAAGAACGGTGCACTGAAATTGTGATTTAAAGGTTATGGAATGAGAAGTGTGGAGTAAAGTGAGAGCAAGGACAGTGTATCAAGGACAGCTTACATTATGAAGAATGGAGAGCTTGGCTGTTAGTAGAGGAATGAAGGAGGGAGTCGGTAGACGACACAGGAAATTGGGCGAGTGTTACAAAGTTGACCAATAACAGCAGTGTTTGGAGTTGACTGTACCCGACAACCTGTTAGATGGTGAGAAATGTATTTTTTGGGCCCACAAAGATATAACAACACGAAGCTAATTAATTCTCACCTGGACCTCTAGCAAAAAATATGCCCTTCATGTCTTTAATGTCCGGGTTATAACCATGGGCACCGACGTACGCAAAGGAACTGCGTGGTGGAAGTTGTTTTTCATACTTGGAGGCCATTATGAAGTATCCTGTAGGGGAGGAAAATCGTATTATTCTTTATTTGGAGGTGCTCACAGTCCTACCACATCTTTGTGACGATGATGTAACAACCCTTGAGTGGACTAACATCCTGCCATTTATCTGGCAAATGCTAAGACTCAGGAGATTAGCACCTACACGGCCACCCTCCCGGCATTAATACAATACACGAAAAGATTTGTATGCTTGAGAAAAAATTAATAGCTACAAGCCTTATCTCGCTATCTTGCAGGGTGATCAGAACCAAGAACAAACAAACTCTTTCTCTCTCCTTCGTTCACAATTTCTGCTTCGAAAGTGAACTGAGTCCCAATGGAACAATTAGGGTTCAGTACACACTCGGGGTTCCCACATTACATCCGCCCTAACTCATTACCCTACCAGATTAGTAGTTTTACCTCTTCTCCACAGCTGATTTACTATTGTCATGGTACACTAATAAACACGTTTTTGCTCACCACCTCGATATTACCGGATGCACATCAAGTGCCTACTGTCATTACCATGTCACCAGTGTTTGTCACCGTTGATGTGGTATTATTGCTGTCTGGCCACAGACATATCCGGTTGATTAAGCGACACCAGCCAGCTCTAGCCAAACATTAGGCATCACCAGCCAGCTCTAGCCAATCAACAGGTAACACCAATCAGTTCTAATCAAACATCAGGCTACACCAGTCAGTTCTAATTTCGTTACACCAGCCAGCTCTAACCAAACTCTAAGCTCCACCAGCCAGTTCTAGTCAAACATTAAGCTGCACCAGTCAGTTCTAATCAAACGCTAGGTTACACTAGCCAGTTCTGGTCATTCACCTCTAGTCAAATACTCAGCTCCACCAGCCAGCTCTAGTCAAACATTAGGCTGCACGAGTCAACTTTAATCAAACAACGCTCAGCACCTTTAACATGTTTTAAATCATTGCACTCCCGAATCCCTATTGTCTGCTGTTAACCATTGTGCACGTACTCCAATCAATGACTTTTCCACTACAGTGCTGCTATTGCACTTCTTGAGATGAAACTAAAACAAACCTGAGAATTCATCAAATTTTATTATTTTTTTCTGACTGATATATAAACATATTTTAAGTTCCTTTGCATTTGTAAACACAACCAAACTCAGTCCTTCAATACTGTACAGTAATATGCAGAGGAATAACTTGATAAAAATATGTCAGATATTTCCAGATAGAAAATAAGATAATGTAGTGGATTCCTCCCCTACAAACGCTTGTCGCTGAGTAGCCGACCCCGCGAATTCCCCAGTGTGTGCCTCGTGGTCTAGGTCAACCAGCGCCGCCTTACATGACGGAGGTCAACTATTAAGCCACGCCTACCTCAGCTATATAAGACCTGACCTCGTGGTGACCTACCCCTCCTGTGTTATAGGTAGGATTAGATGTAATCAAGAAGATGACAACTAGCATTAGAATAAAACATAGAGATAAGGGACACTCTATTGGAAGGGGAAAAGTGGCAGAAATCACTTACAACAAACTGCAAGTCCCACTAACAAGAATATTCAGCACCAATGAAGGTTTTAAAGTAATCTGTAAAGATGACTTTGATTCAGATAAAATCCTTTCAAAAGAAGCAAGAGATATATTTTACAATGAAGGCCTTATTGTTGTCATGCCACCAGAACAAAAAGCAAAAAGATCAGTTTTTGTTCGTCAAGTCGACCAAGAGATCGGGAGGAAGACATCTGAAGACCTGAAAGATGAACTGGAACGCCAAAACAGGTGGATGAAGATTGAAGAAGTCATTAAGATAAAAGACTATACTCATGTTTTTAAGATTACTTTTGAAGAAGTGTCAATGGCTGAGAAAGTTTTACAACAGGGCTTTCTAATATTCAACATGTCAGTCACACCCACATCAAATAAAGAAGGAGACATTCATCAGTCTGCAAACTTGCTTCTCCTGCTACAAATATGAAGAACACACAACGAGAGACTGTCCGGAAAAAGAAAAAAAGTACTGCTCAGATTGTGCAGGCGACGACCATACCTACACTGAATGTAAGAATACACATGTTGGCTGTCTCAACTGTAAGAGAAACGGGAATGTATACATAGGACATAGGACGTTAGCAATGGCATGCCCAATAAAAAAACACATGATAAAGTACAAGGAACAAGAAACAAGGAAAAAGGAACAAGACAAGAAGGATATGACATACGTCGAAATAGCAAAGAGAGCGGTCCAAGAGGCTCATAGACCAGAATCCACAGTGAGCAAACCCAAGTGAGCCAATAATAATACATGATAAGGTAATGATTAGTATGATCCATGCACATTTGCATACATAATATCATTGCACCCCGGATCATACAATGAGGAATTAAGGAAAATGTTTAAATTGAATAACCTTACCGGTGGCTTATATTTGAGAATCCACAATCCGGAAAACCATATTTCCCCAGACAACATATGCAAGCGAACTGAGAGAAAGACTACATCAAGCATTAGAACAAAGCGGTTTGAGCAAGAAACAGCTGATACACAAGGAACACAAGGACTGATAGAGATCCCAGACAAAATGACTAGAAGTGACAAAGAGAAGATAGAAATAACAAAAGGACAGACTATAAGACAAAGGAGTAGGAGGAGAGAAGATAAGATGGAAAATGATCACAATATACAACCTGAATCTGCTGAAGAAATTGGATTAAAAGTTATCACTACAACAAAACATGGAATCCCAACATCGAGACCAACAGGAGGGACAATAGTAAAAAACTGTGAAGGAGGGATATACAAGTGGACATATCAAGAAAAATCCCTAAGTGAAGATTATGTCTGGTCACTAATTATTACGGACAAACTAAAGATTACGACCAAAGACTTTAAAATAGTAGACCCGTCAGAGTTTAGAAGAGTCAGAAGCGGGAAACAGGATGATAGGTCTCCACTTCAACAGTCACAATCCAAGTATAAGAAATAATGGACAATAGACAAACAGTAAGAACTTTAAGAATAATACAACACAATGTAAGAAACTGGAAGACCGAGAGAATTAACCTAAGTAATATATATCAAGAAATTGACCCTGACATTATACTAATAAACAGTCACGGTGAGACAGAAAACAACAACATAAAACTCTTTAACTATTATGTAAAACAAAGAAATAAATCGGGCGAGAAAAATGACGGAGTAGCGATAGCGGTTAAGAGAAACTTAAAATTTAAACTAATTGATGACTTCCAGGATGAATTTCTAGCAATAAAAATAAATACAACTCAAGGAGACGTAATTATTGCTACTACTTATCTCCCACCGAGACGACCCTACTTACCTATAGAAGACCTATTAAAATTGGCTAACAATAGTCATCCGATGTACATCTTAGGAGACTTTAACGCCAGACATAGGATTTTTGACAATGCAAATAATAACGTCGTGGTAAACGCCCTTAATCAATTAATAAATTTAGGGAAAATCAATCATCTGGGTCCTAACTTTCCAACCTGGAGAAATCACAATACACAATCGACACCAGACAAAATTTTTACCAACAACAAAGCCTTTTTCAATTACCATATAATACAGGCAGTGACCATCTGCCAATTATACTAACACTGTCAACAAGCCCCATACAGATACCAATAAAAAAGAGACTGAAAATGAGTAAAACAGACTGGGACAACTTCAAAGACGACTTAAGTAATCACCAGTCGATTAACCTACAAGGGAAAACAACAGAAGATATAGACTCAGAAATGGACAGACTGCACTCAGCAATAAAAACATCTATAACCAAACACACTCCAACTTCACACTTTAGAACATTACCCAACAACAGACTACCAGAAGAAGTTAAATTAATCCAGACCTATTACAATGAAATAAACAGGTATATGGAAAGACACGGCAGTAACAGATGGCTATATACGACACAGATAGCACTACAGATAAAATTAAGAGACGCATGTAAGGAAGCAAACAATAAAAAATGGAATGATATTATAATGGCGGCTGACATGACTAAAGACACAAAAACATTTTGGACTTCCATAAACAAGATGATGGGGCACAACAAGCAAAAAAACACCATACATTAAAGACCAAAATGGAAACAAAATTGTCGAGGAAATGAACAGAGTCAGCATTCAAAAAGGAATGGGTAAAAGCTTTTGAAATATCAGATGAGGAAATGAAGATTTTGATAGTGAACACGAAGAAAGGGATAGAAGAAGAAATGGGGGAAGACAAATACACAGAATCACCCCCAAGGCAATATATAGACTATAACTTATTACCTAATAATCAAATAATAACCATGGAGAAAATGATGCACTGCCCGAGGAAATTTAATATGAAAAAGCCCCTGGGCTCAAGGAGGTATTACACGAAATATGATCATGAATCTACCTGAAAACATTTTAAATGGCTAATTATTAAACATTTATAACGGATGCTTAATAACTGGTTACTTTCCAGACAAACTAAAATATGCTAAAAAGATATTTATTCCTAAGGAGGGTAAGGACAATAAGGAAATATTAAACTACAGGCCAATATCTTTATTAGAAATTACCGGGAAATTATTGGAAAAAATATTAAATTCAAGACTTATAGCCTTTTTAACACAACATGGGAAAACTAACAACAGACAACATGGATTTATGCCCAATAGAAATACCCTAACTGCAATAGCTACAATAACGGAAATAATTGCAATAGAAAAAAGCAAGGGTAACCAGATCAATATAATTTTAAGGGACGTTTCTAAGGCTTTTGATAAAGTTTGGCATTTAGGCTTAAAATATAAAATATTAAAACTGGGACTTAACGAATACTTGCTAAGAATATTGTGTAACTATTTAGATCATAGGAGAGCACAAATTCAAATTGGAAACTTTATGGGAACTATGTTTAATCTTGAGAGTGGAGTACCTCAAGGAGGATGCCTTTCTCCAACACTATATACAATTTATACCTCAGACACACCTCAACCTTCCCCCTTTAGCGAATATGTAATGTT